GAACAATTAGACCAAAACAAAGAAAGTGTCAAGCTGCATAAATTGACGTAAAAAACGGATATGTGTATTCATTCATCAACTAAAATGAAAAAAATAATATATAAACTGTTTTTGTTTAATTCAATTACCATAAATCTGGGTTAAGTTGTCCCTTATCAGAACTTTTGGTTTCCGATGCTTTCCAACTACATATCATGTCATAATTGATTTGGCCTTTCACTTTTTGCAACTGATTTCGTTTTTGACGAAACCCCGTGTTTATCGTTCTATAGCAATGTTCTCGTTAAGGTACGCAAACACGCCCGTGCGTTCAATGGACGCTTCCTAAAATCACTAGCTGAGTCTTGTTATCATCATAACTTTCCCTCAGCTATCAAAAAGAAGCCGAAAACATGCTTCTATTCAATATTTTTATCGGACATTTACTTTCGTTTTAATTCATTGTATGTTATGATAAATCCCGAGCAATTCGAAAAAAAATATGACAGCATGTCACACGCTAATTGGATAAACGCCGAGAAGATCGAAATGTTTTCATAAACACGTGTACCTTTTGAGCAACGGAAAATTCCAACAGGGACCCGTTACAGCTACTTGATGCAGGGCTCTATTTTAAGAACGAAAGGACATTTCCAATTATAAATATTATAAAAATAGATTTACGCGACGACTGTAATCAGATAAGGGTAAATAACGCAAACGATAGCGAATAAAAGCGTTAAGAACTCATGGTTTTGGCATATAATTGGGTTTTCCTTTGAATTAATTGGGTTATTGAACCCTGCAATGGGCAATTGCATTGGGTTTTTAATTACTTGTATTGCGTGATCACGCAAATACGCAGCTTATCTGGAGCTCTGCTAGTAACAGTCAATTATTTCAAATCAAAAGCAAAAATAAACTCAGCAAAAAAGATTTGGCGACCAATCAGCGGTCGCGGGTTCACATATTGCTTTTCTTTTTTTTAACGAAAGCAACTTGTTTTAATAGAGTCCAACCTTTTACCTGAAGAACTAAAACAAAAAGTCTACTGCACACAGATGTTAAGGAACAAAAGGCCTCACAAACTGCATCATGGAGGCTTGTAAATGAGCAGATTAGTAAGTCAATTATTTCTAAATCAAAAGCAAAAATTCAACAAAAAAGATTTGGCGACCAATCAGCGGTCTCGGGTTCACGTATTGCTTTTCTTTTTTTTAAACAAAGCAACTTGTTTTAATAGTCCAACCTTTTACCTGAAGAACTAAAACAAAAAGTCTACTGCACACAGATGTTAAGGAACAAAAGGGGGCCTGACAAACTGAATCATGGAGGCTTGTAAATGAGCAGATAACAGATGAGATTTTCATTGTCCATGAAATTAGACTTTTATGAATAGTAAAGACAACTATAAGTGACAGACAATAACACACACTTTTATGGCAATGTAGTGAAGAGAAGTTCAAAAAGAAAAGAAGGAAATATGACATTTTTTACTTATATAAGTAAAATAAATGGAATGTCTAAAGATTTAACTATACATCCAAAACAAGTTACCTGTACCCTTAAATAAAAACACTTGACGGGTTGTATAAGAATTATCTCAGACTGTCTTTATAGTGGAGTTACTGCCTTTATCATTTTTGACTATCATTTTTAAAACTATAATAGACAGAAACTGTAAACATAAAAATATATCAATAATTATTATACAAGATCTACAAAAATGACAAAATAACTAAATACATAAATTAATCCCATAGTTTACTAAATGCCCCTAAATGACTATTTTTGACATTTTTTTTTCTATTATTTTGAAAATTACAAAACGAGGCCAGATGCTGTGTTGAAAATCTAACCATGAAAAATTCATATTTCAATATTTGGCAAAACTAATAAAACTTTCATTAAAGTTTATTCTGTCAAACTAGTCTTTGGTCAAAACAATCCTTTTGGGTTGTTCAAATTCGTCCGTTTTTCTTCTGTGAACTTCTCTGCATGATTCATTTTAAGCACATCTGATAGATAGAATCAGTAAATAGCAAAAATTATCAGCCATACAATATCTACGAAAATGTCAATCCAAACTGAAACCATTTGAAGAATCATGTAAGAGTTATCAGTGTTAAATGATGATTTTGGACTTAATTTCGTGTTTTCCCTTTATTATCTCGAAGACTATATTTATTTAGATATAATTATGCTGGATACCACTGTGAGTGATGGAATTATTTTTATCTTACCTCCTATACATTTCTAGGAATATGATTGGTTAAAAGCGTCCGCGTGGAGACCGTGTACATTCCATATTAGGTTAGTAGGGAGGCGGGGCTTATTTCATACACGGTTAGTAGTGGTGTGACGTCCCCTTATTAAACCAAACGGTACTGAGAAAAATCTTAAAGGTTTCAACAGACGAAGAAATTGATGATGAAGATTGAAATAAATTCATAAAACACATTTAAACCTAACAAGTTGTTATTGTTGGCATCTGTTGTTGTAGGATCAATGGAAGTAGTTTCTTAATGCTAACGATATTGAAGACTTGCTCATTTTGATAAGTCACTAGTCTAAATTTCACACGTTAAGATAGTCGGTAAGATAAATTCGTTCTCATCCCATATGGAATTTACTGACCCCATATATACCGTATTAGGTCACTAGCACACTATGTAACTAATAATATTCTATACAACATCTACATATTTTTAGGCAATACAGTTTATCGACAGGTTATGGTATTCCAATAAGCACTGATTGCGCCCTTTTGGTTACATATTTGTTCTTTGCTTAGATTACCAAGAATCCTTGATTTGGTAGATTTGGTTGAATGTTTTGGAATATCCGTGTCAAAGATGAAGCCACAATATAGTCTTCTGTTACACGAAAAAGACATTGTCGAATGCGGCATAGCACCGAATGTTAACTTTTCATGATCAATGCTATAGTTTTCACTAGTGGAGCATGATCTACTTACCTTTCCTGGGCACTTGAAATCAACATTTATCGAGCACCTGAGATTATTCCCGTTTTTGTGTGTTACTCAGTTTTTTCAGTTTTCTGCTTAATATTATGTAGACTTTTGTGTTTCTTTTAGTCGTGAGGTTATCTGTTTCTCTTCGGCTTAATGATTAGTTAATCGTACTCTTTAATCTTCTGTCTTATATTTTAGAAGTTTTTACATTAAAATTTATAGAAAATAATCGTGTAATATATTAATAATTATATTAAATTGACCGTTCTGAAGAGTAAAATTGAGATTTCATTTTCAAATTACATGTACTGGTTAAAACATTTAAGATTTCATTTTTGACCCATCTAAATTGACTTAGAATTATTCGAGTAAACCGTACGTCAATACTTAAAGTTTGATTATTCCTCTTCCGACAAAGCCGAAGGGAACTATATATATACACCCAGTCCGTACGTTCGTCAGTAGGTCATACGTTACCAAGTTACGTTAAGGTAAAGCATTTTGCACGAAACCTGGTCTTACACATTGGAATAAGGAATCTCAGTTTTCCCGCCTTTCAAATCTAAAAAATCAAGCTTTTAATCGGTACAATTTTGGGAGGAAATTAACTGTTTTATGTTTTCTATACACGAAAAAATAATTGGCCAACAGTAAACTTTCCCCGATAATTGCACCGATTATATGTTTGATTTTACTTCTTTTTGGTTGTTCTTACTTGACCTTGTACCACTGGGCAGGATATGTCCTACCACAGATTATTAACCTGTCGAAAAATTGTATAATCCGGTGTCAAAAGTCGGTAATATGAAAATAGTCTATTGACACATCATTAGAAGTTACTAAGCGAGATTGATTTTCATTCAGATTGAGTGATTTCTGTCCATTTTGTGGGCCTTCGAAACAAAATGAAATGCTTGAAAATATCGGTTTTCCCTTTTTTGTAATGCCTAAATCAATTGATTCATTGTTTTGCATACCGTCATACAATAAGAAGTGACAGATTTAGATAGAATATGATTTTCTTATCAGTTGAATGATTTTTGCTAAATTTGTGGCCTTGGAAAAGGAACTTTGGTTGAAAATTAGGAGATAAGAGTATTGTATTTGAAGACTTTGCGGGTATCCATTGGCTATTTTAAATTTAGTTTACTGGCGTCGCGTCAGCGTTCGGCAGTTTTGTCATCCCGGGGCTATTTATAGCTTGCTATACGGTATGGGGTTTGCTAATTAATCATTTACTGCGAGTCTTATATTTCCTATCGGCTGTGGGAAAACGAAATAATTACGGTTTACATACTTGGGGAGGCCTGCTACGAACGTTTCCGACAACAAAGGTAGGCGTGTTATACACTATAATTGTGTAGATAAATCAGTTTAAATTTACGGCATAATAAGTTTTAGTGAGGTAGAAAACCGAGAAATCGAAATATAACGGAAGTTCGCGACCGGGTGACATTTTTTCACTGAAAATGCAAGTTAAGTACCTTATGTTATATTAAGGTATATAGGATTTTTTTCAGAGACAAGTGCCTGTGCCAAAATTGCATAAATAACAGTTTCGTCTAAATAATCCCACCAATGTTTAAAATGCATTGAAGAGAAAAAATAACATATAACTAGAGACTTTCTTGAGATTTAATTAATCTCTCACGCGTTAGTATAAAGAGACTGAACAACACGAACCCCACCAAGAAGATTTATTCAAACTTTGCGACATTGTACGTATTGAACATCAATTCACTTAATTTTATAGTTAATGAGGGTTTGAATGATTTATGCAATAATGAAAAATTGATGTTCAAACATTTATCATACGAATTTAAAATAATATTGGAGACTGTTTTTTTTAAATAGAATTGTACAAGAGAACAGAAGTCGATGCTGATAACATATGTATAATATAATTTTTTTTAAGAAAAAAATCACGTTTTTTATATTTTAATCATATCCCTTCGGCTGCCTTCCTGAGAAAAACATACGTATACTTTTTATTTCGACATTAAAGCATGCTACAGGAAAAAACATATCCTTTTAAATTTGACATTGACCTCTCAGCTGCCTTCCTGTGGAAAAATTACAATTGGATGCAAGAATATGTAAATAGATTGAATGTGTTTAAGTTGATCTCAATTTCAACTAAAAATCGACTTCAGACAGGACGCGTATACTATTAAAACAAATTTCTCTAAAATGAAAAAGTTCCTGTCCAAATTGCTTACATTTCTTGTTTTGTACAACACGTACACATTGTCCATAGCTGTATATTGTGACGATAATACCTGTAACCTTGGAAAAGAATTAGCCGCTTTGGTAAAGAGGGAGGTGGAAAAGGGGTTGGAACGTGCAAAACAAGGTAAGCATCACATAAAAATTGGAAGCCGTTTATCTCAAACAAGGTAAGAATTTATCAAAACAAAGTAAATATCCATTCAAACAAGGGAAGATTCATCTCAAACAAGGTAAGAACTTATCAAAATAAGATAAGAAACAATGTAAGAGTATAAGCACAATGATGTATACATGGGAAAGTTTATTTATATTTGTTCGACATAAATGAATATTTTCGACGGTTTTGAGTGAATGAAGAAAAACATGTATTGACAACAGACTGGGCCGTTTGTTTCAGAATCTCAGAATATAAACTTTGTCTTTAATTCTACATAGAAACCACACATGGCTGACTTCAAGGATTAACTGTGTTTTTTAAGCATAAGTTGCAGTTTATGATCAATCAAAATCATATTGATACAGTAGTCCCATTCTTTTTAAAAGCGGGAGTGTGTTGGTTGTATGAGTTAAGAATGTAGGCGTCTGTATGCTCCTAGAGATCTGCGGTCTAGTATTGCGCAGAACTTTTCTTAGGGGCACTGACGACATAACTAAACACTATTCTGTGTCCTTTGATGAAGTGTTCTTTTAAATTTAGTTACATCGGATATCGATTCATTTTTATGGCGTTCTCTAGTGACGTGACATAATCCAGGCATCAAAATCTCACCGGTAGTGATAGAACAGCTCTTCTGATGGCATGTTCAACCAAAAAAGACAGTGCCTGAATTTTAAATATTTATTTTTCATAACGAAACGATTGTCGGAAATAATGCAAGGTTATCCTGAACAGTTACTCCATCGGTAAGATGGCATTAAAATGCCACATAACAGCACACTATATAGCGTGTGCTCATAGACCGATGATGTCGAGTTTTAAAAAAGAGTAATCGCACGTCTTCGAACATTCTAAAAACGTTTACTTTGTTCAACTATCTATAGGCAAGTGACATTTTTCAAAAAGACGCTTAGCTAACGATTTAATTGCACCCCCTAACATACGGCTATATTATATATCATTCGAAAGCTTGTTATCTGTACTTTCTGTTTTGCCCGGTCGTCAAAAATTGCAGTTCTTAAAAAACCTTTTAAAACTGGTAAAATTGCGCTGAAAGCAAAATATTTCTTAAGGTATCAATATTTATATGTCAAAAATAAAATTAATTTATCGTTTTTAGGTGAAGGGATTTTTTTCGTCATTTTAAACTGCAATTAACATAATACTGGTCAGGAATCAGCATTCTTATGAAACTTTTGCAGTTTCCCTAAATACAGCCATCTACAAATAGGGATCATTTTTGCTTTTCATTGGTTAGATAACACATCGATTGTTGTCAATATAAGGAGAAAATAATTTACCATATTTAAAAAAAAGGGTAATACAAGTGCTTAAGGAATATATAATGCATATACAGTAAAAATATGTTTTGTAGTTTTCGGATCTGGAAGACATATTAAGAAGTTTATTATCGTTCTCTATTCGATTGAAACTGTTTGCACCGCACACTTTACAATAACAGATCCGGCTATTTTTTAATGTTAGCACATTATTACATACTATATTCGATGGTTTTGTCAAGTATGACTGAAAATTGATATTGTGGAGGATTGAATACCTTTCCTGAGCAGCTTCAATGACCACCGGTTTAAGGTAGTGTTCGTACATTTCCGAGTCTTGTCTTTTGGGAACCGTTGTTTGTCCTACTTTCATCGCTTTGGTCATGGAGTTATATGTGTGTTTATCGGAACTGTAGGAATAATCTCGCCTACACCCATTTATTTTTTGTTTTTTCCATTCATATGTCCATCCATTAGTCTTAAAACTTTGTAAAGAGCATGCACGCCCAATACTCCTCCTACATCGCTTGATAAATTTTAGTGAAGTTCAACGTTTTTGGAGTACACATATGAAGATTGTACATGAAGTTTTTTTATTCGTGATAAAAAGATTCAAAAAGAGTTAAATAGCAAGCAATTCAAATTCACCATACCAGTCCTGCTTTGATGTTATCTCATTTTTAATGCTGTTTTTTCTCACATTAACAAATACTATTTTGTATGTGTTTTTTTATGTCAGCTAATATCAGACACTTATAGCAGTTATGAGATCTTCGCACCATGAGAAAACCAGACGAACAGATTATAGTATGCAAAGCATTTGGATGTAAAAAAAAACGGTTTTACTAATTTGTTTGGACAAAGTTATAGGGGTTTTCTTTATAATTTAGTTTTGGAAAAGACAATACAAGTATTTCAAACCAACTAATTTTGGAAACCAATTTATTTATGCGACTTTTGTGATTAGAAAAAAAACTCGAATATGATGAAAATGATCTTCGTACTTCTGTAGTATGAAAATAAAGTTTGAAAATCGCCAAAAATTGCTGCCAGGACAATAAATAAAGGCAACAGTAGAATACCGGTGTTCAAAGTCATAAATCGATTGAGAGAAAACAAATCCGGGTTACAAACCAAAACCGAGGGAAACACATCAACTATAAGAGGAAAACAAAGGAACAACAGGAACACCGAAGTGCAACAAAAACAAAGGTCAACACACATAGAAACGAACTATTTGATAACAACTGCCATATTCCTGACTTGGTACAGGACATTTTAAGAAAAAATGGTGGGTTGAACCTGGTTTCATGGCATGCCAAACCTCCCGCTTTATGACAATGTTAAAAAATATCGCTAAAACACTATGTGATAGAAATACAGCACACATACACACAAGAACATTCATAACAGAGAAACGCACAAACAAATAATATAATAGTCGACACAACATGCAAACCACAGAACAACAACGAACATATTCCATCAACGAAAAGCACCACATGATATCAAAAACGGTGACGCGCTTGATGTGTTTGAGCTTTTGATTTTCCATTTGATTAGGGACTTTCCTTTTTTAATTTTCCTCGGAGTTCAGTATTTTTGTGATTTTACTTTTTACGTAACTAACATGCAATCTCGATCTTTATACAATTATTTTCACAATATTCGTCCAAACAATTTTCATGACAATGATGGTATGGAAAGGCAATTTTATAATTATTTGGACTACAAACGATAAGACATAACAGGTTATCCAACCGAAACCATAACAGAAACATCAAAATAAATCCATTAATGTTGGATGTACAAGACACCGAGACGCGCCGCACAGCAATGCACATCCACATTCAGTATAACAGTCATATTCGGGAATATGACAATGATGGTATTGAAAGGCAATTTTATAATTATTTGGACAACAAACGATACGACATAACACATTATTCAACCGAAACCATAACAAAAACATCAACAATAAATACATGAATGTTGGATGTACAAAATACCGAGACACGTCGTCTAGCAATGTAAATTCACTCTCGGTATAACAGTCATATCGGGAATAGGTCCAATCGGTACTTAGCAGACAGACGACATAGATGTTTAAAAACCACAATCTAAGACATGGTAAAAATGTCATCAGTTAGTTTAGACACAGACACATCGTATAGATCAATCAATTCGTGATGGTGTCCATAAAATTTACGGAGTGTCATTTTTAATCTTTTCTCCTCATAACTCTGTTGGAGCAGTTTCTGCGTACGGAGAATAACACATGGCTTAGCGCAGGGTCGAGAGGTAGCATACTTTTACAAAATGTTCTTGGTGATGATTGGTTGAACTGTTGGTGTGACACCTACAAAGTTATTTCTTTCTTAATAACTATGTATTCTACATGTAATAATTTAACTATTTAGGAAGCCAAATTATAACTATAATTATTGCGAATTGCTAGAATTTGCAAATCAAGATACAGACTGCAAGTTGTTGTAAATAAACTCCTCATAGATACCTGGCTTAAAATGTTGTACGCCAGACCCGCTTTTCGTCTACAAAAGACTCAGCAGTAACGCTCGAATAAAAAAAAGTTAAAAAAGCAAAATAAAGTACGAAGTTGAAGAGCATTGAGAACCCAAAATTCCGAAAGGTTTTGCCAAATACAGCTAAGGTTATCTATTCCTGGGGTAGAAAATCCGAAGTATTCCGAAAAATACAATGTTTTGTAAATAGTTAATTTATAATTACGACCATATCAGTGATTATTCATGTCAACGCAGAAGTGCTGTCTACTGGGCTAGTGATTCTCAGGAGTGGCATCGACCCAGTGGTTGTAACTCATCATAGATATACCAGGCTTACATTTTGTACGCCAGACGCACGTTTTATCTACAACAGACACTAGTGAAGCTCGAATTTAAAAGTTAAAACGGCAAAAAAAAGTACGAAGTTGAAGAGCTTCGGAGGACCCAAATTTCCGAATAGTTTTGCCAAATACAACATGCAACTGCAACATGTCAATCTTTTTTCTCAAGAAAGTGAATAAGTTTGATAGGGTTTCCTACTTCGGACAGGCAAAAAACAAAAACTTTTCAGTGACTAGAATATAAAAGTGTTTAATTCTTTCGTCAATGCACGATGCAGTTGAAGCAACAAAGAAAACAAATTTTCTAATTTGTATAGAAGAAATATTTGAAATTCAACTTTTCATTAATCAACTTACTAACTATGTAATTATCTATTTATGTACTAGTATTTATGTTTTTTTGTAGCTAGTTTAATATTTATCTATAAAGTCCTTTACGTTTTTGAAAAGACAAGAGTTTTGAACAGGCTGGCAATTAAACTAAGTATTGAAATATCAAAGTTTATAAAAATAAGGAGATGTGGTATGATTTCCAATGAGACAACTATCCACCAAAGTTCAAATGAAGTGGATATAAGCAAGTATAGGCAACTGTACGGCCTTCAACAATGAGAAAAAACTCATACCGTATAGTCGGCTATAAAAGGCCCCGATATGAAAAATACGAAACAATTCAATTGAGAAAAATTAACGGCCTAATATATAACAAAACAATTTACGAAAAACAAATTTGACAGACATGAACCAACAACAACCACTGAACTACAGGCTCCTGACCTGGAACAGGCACACGCAGAATGTGGCTGGGTTAAACATTTTTGTGAGCGCCCAACCCTCCCCTAACCTGTAACAACACAACACAAGAACAAATTATAAAAATCAGTTGGAAAAGGCTTAACCCATCAGATCGATACAAAGAAAAACATCAAACAAAAACACAGACAGGACGTGGCAGGGTATTTATCCACCCCTCATCCCTAACAACAAAAAAGACACTAAGTACAGATCTTAGAGAACTCGCAGTTACTGACAGCTAGTTCAAAGCCAATAACTAATAAAAAAAATAATCATGTATCTAAGACTAAAATATCAATCAGTACACATTTAGCTCCCTAAGTTCCTCTTAAAAGCATGAGTCCCGCGTGTATTATTCCTCCAACATTTTTGCATTTTCTAAATGATTTTCTCCAACTTAATATTGACTACTGTAAACATACAATTTTTTTTAACGTAGAACAGCTCACAGGCACTTGTGTCAGAAATTTTTTTCCTATATACCATGTTATATTAAGGTATATAGGAAAACAATTTTCTGAGACAAGTGCCTGTGGAACAGCTAACAAGCAATCTTTTTGCAGATGGTGGTATTTTGGGCAACTGTATGGGTTGTTATGATTGGCTGTGTGATTAGCAAGAAGCGTGATTGCAGTAATTTGATGACGTCAAAAACTTTCTTAGCATTAAATGAAATATGTTACTTAGTTTTATGGTGATTAACAATTCACTCATTTTTATCATTTTCACTGGAATTTCTGGGAAAAGGCGCTATCTATTAAAAATTCGTCATTAATATTTTAAAGTGCGTTTATTAATTGACTTTTAGTCTCTCTTCTAAGAGTTTTTCATATTGCCATACAGAATTTTATTATTTAGAAGACAGTATATGCCATAATGTTGACGTCTTGTAAAATAAGAAATTGTTCGTCCTTGGCCTTTCATTGTAATTTGACAGAAATTGCACCGTACGAATATTTGACGACTGGACAAAAAATATAGTACAGATGATATACTTAAGAATGGTATATTATTTGGCCGTATGTTAGGTGGGTGCATTAACATTTACATTTTATGGTTTATGTCACTCGACAACTAAACTTCAAAGAAATAAAATTAACTTTTGAATAGATATAGGAAGATGTGGTATGAGTGCCAATGAGACAACTCTCCATCCAAGTTACAATTTATAAAAGTAAACCATTATAGGTCAAGGTACGGCCTTCAACACGGAGCATTGGCTCACACCGAACAGCAAGCTATAAAGGGCCCCAAAAAATTACTAGTGTAAAACCATTCAAACGGAAAAACCAACGGTCTAATCTATATAAAAACGAGAAACGAGAAACACGTATGAACTACATAAACAGACGACAACTACTGTAATCAGATTCCTGACTTAGGACAGGTGCAAACATTTGCAGCGGGATTACCGGTAAACGTTTTAATGGTACCAAACCTTCTCCCTTTTCTGAAACAATTTTTCAATGTATTGAGAAATGAACAGTTTCTGTTTTTCGCTGGTATATATTTGATGTGTATTATGTTTTATCTTACTAATATTAATGATTATATAATGTTTGATTTTAGAAATCAGGCCAGCCTTTACTGCTCATTTCAAAACCGGTGAATTCAAATCTTTAGCAAAAGGCCAGATATTAATATTTGACAAAGTCCAATTTAACGTCGGAGGAGGGTACAACCCAGGTACAGGATATTTTACAGTTCCTAGAGCCGGACTTTACTTAGTGTCGTGCAAAGTGAGATCCAATGGCGGCAGACATCTACACGTCTGGCTTGAGAAGAACGGTAAAAGGGTCACGTTAGCGTTCGGGGGAAACTGGAATGAGGGAAGCTTTAGCATCCCTGTACAGGCAGCAGAGGGAGATCGACTTGTTATAATACATGACACAGGCTCTTATGTTAAAGACGAATCTGTACAAGGAAGTATTATCTCCTTCTTCTCTGCCGTGTTCATATCTGACTAGTAACTATAACAAATATCTACATGCTGTTATCATAGTGGTCAGAAGAAGGATTTCCCGTCAACTTAGCCTAATAGGTTAAACAGAATAATAAATACACATGAATTAGTTTGCTCTGTTATTAAAGCAGATATAAAAATAATTTATTTGAATTGATTTTTATTTGCATTATTTGTATGGCATTATAATTAAAATGATGGGAAATTTAGCCAAAAAATTTGTGTAATACCACCATTTTTTTCCCCCTATTAGTCTTTGTTAAATTTGCACTTTTTTGTGCAGAATTTATCTTTGTTTCAAACAAAGAAATACTTGGCATGAGTAAAGTTTTATCCTGTCCAGTACTATAGACAACTCAACTTTGACTCTTTTATATGGGCTGTGCATTTCTCAACTTTGACTCTTTTATATGGGCTGTGCATTTCTCAACTTTGACTCTTTCATAAGGAAGTTGTATTTTTCATACTTTTTTTTACGTAGGGTATATTTCTCAACTGGTTCCATCGACATTTTATTATTACTTAGAGATAGCTGAAAAAGCTGACTCCCGCCCTTATTTGAAACCAATTCTGTATCAATTTTTGCTTGGAATGTCTTTTTGATCGTGCCTTGTTGAGAAAGAGAAAGAGAAACTTAAAGAAAAAAATAATTTACAAAACAATATGTACAAATAAGTTTGATCGACTCTTTAAAGGAGTAATTGCACATAAATGACAATTTTTATCAATAGTTTGAATTTTTTACTATTATCTTGATAACGATGATAAATAGAAATCTAAATAACAAAGATGATCAGCAAGAAAATTTCTACAAATAAGTCAACATGGCCCCAATTAGCAGTGTGTTAGACATACACCTTATGGAAATGACGTTTTTTGCGTGTTTGCCTATTATCTTGAAAACTTTAAAAGATAGATAAAAACGTTTAAAATAAAAATGACCAACAGGACAAGATCTACAAATATGTCAACATGGCCGAAATTGTTAGTCAATTCGTTTTAGGAGTCAATACCCTTTAATGAAGATTTTTGGTGAAAACTTTGTTGGATAAAGAAAACTGATCAGCAAGACAAGATCTGCAAATAGGCAATCATAGCCGAAATTGTCAGTCAACTCTTATAAAGAAAAGTGTTGACTGACATTATTCTCGTTTCTAAATTTTTGTCAAAATTTTAGAAGATAGAGAGAAACTGTAAAAATCAAAAATTATCAGTATGACACGATCAACAAAAAGGATTTTAATCAGGAATTATATTCTGGTCTACAATGTTGGAGAGTGACCATAATTGACGATATACTTAGATCCAGGTGAGCGACATAGGCTCTTTAGAGCCTCTGGTTTTGTATTATTCTATCAATGACCACGTCAAATATCAGAGTGAGTCTATATAGCAATAAAAGTATACCCAAAATGCGGTTTATTATAACTCTATACTTCCCTCTTTTGCCTCTTGCAAATGTGACCTAATGGCGTGTTAACGGTTCTCTTTATGCCATCATATTTTGATTTAGTTTTGTTTGCCACTAGCATACAATTTATATTAAGGGTTAGGTAAATGTGAATAAACGGTTACGCTTTAGGATTAAATATGAATACACATTTAAAATGAGGATTATGTGAAAGTATCTTCCCGTATCATATCACTCGATTAGTTCATGGAAGTATCATTCTGATAGTACTTTAAAGATAACTTTTTTTCCAAAGTTTGCTTGCGTGCTCTTTATGTAGTTGTTCTTCACAATTATTCGACAAGAGATTATCCAACTAGCAAGGTTTATAGAGATTACAATAGGTCATTTTGATTTCAATTATTAAGGAGATTTAAAAAGTTATACTATGAACAACACATGGTCCTGACACAAAATGAGGTGGGGCTAAACCCGTTTTACACACACTAACTATCTTTTAAGGCCATAAGTAACCACAGTAAAAAAAAAATGTTGTTTCAGCTGCCAACAGGACGCCATAATTTTGAACAAGAAAATAAAAGACGGGATACGATTTGGAAAGCAAGGTCAACATAATTATGCTCAAACTGTGCATGTTTACACACTGGTAAAGAATGCGGCTTGAAGAACATCGACATTTAAAAACGTTTTGGGAAGTAAAATTTGAATGTTGTATATATTTTAACCTCAATTTTTACAAGTTTGTATCAGTATAATTATGTGTAAAAACGGACAATATTGACTTAAATAACTAGCTGATCTTCTTAAGGAAAAACTTTTGGTCATACTTCCTGCTGATATTATATACCTATACATTGGCATTGCACAAGATCGTGTCATTTCCAGACTATGACGGATTTATACTAAATCCATGGAGGTGTACTGATTGATACTTTAGTCTGGTAAATATCATTTATTTATTAGTTGTTATTGGCTTTGCAATAGTTTTCAGTAACTGCTAGTACTCTTAGATAAGTATTTTGTGTAGTTTGTCTTTATGTAAGTTGTTTTTGTGCTTTGTGGCAATCTGATGAGTCAAGCCATTTCCAACTGATTTTTACAATTTGTTTTTATGTTGTGCTGTTACACCACTGTCAGCGGTTAGAAGAGGATTGAACGAGCTTAAACATGTTTAACCCTGTCACATTATATAGGTGCCTGTCCCGAGTCAGGATCCTGTATTCAGCGGTTGTCGTTGGTTCCACTGAGTTATAATTGTTTTTCGTTTATTGTTTTGTCATAAGTTAGGCCGTTGGTTTTTTCGTTTGAATTGTTTTACATGTTGCCGTGTCAGGGCCTTTTATATATGACTTTACGGTAGGGGTTTGCTCATTGTTGTAGGTCGTACGGTGACCTGTAGTTGCTTTAATCCACGTCATTTTGACTGGTGGGTAGTTGTCTCATTGGCAATCATATCACATCTCCTTATTATATATAATGGGATTATCAACGATAAGTCCATCGCAAATTTATTAGTGTTAAAAATGTCCACCAATCTATCAATTGTTTACATTCCCTTTTGGCATTTTCCCATTTAATTTAGATAAGATTCGTAATAGGAAAGAAAAAAATGTGATCAGTTAGTACCTATAGTAGGGATATAAAATATTGAAATAATGAAACAAATATTGTTAAGCATGTTAAGCAAGACATACGGATATGAATAAAAGGAGATATGGAGTATATGTCAATTAGACAGTATCCCAACGACAAAATTAACTGACAAAAAAGGTGTCTGTATAATATGTCAAGCTCTTTAGAGTCTTTATAAACTGAAGGAATTTAGCAGAAACAATCAAATATCCGCCATTAATATGTATCATGTCTGCTCCTATCCAGGAACAATGAAAAAATATACCGGGTAAGACTTACAAAATACAAAATAAAAAGAATTGGTATGATTGGCAATAAAACAACTATCAATAAAAACAAAAAGGACAAAGATTTGAACAATTACAGATCATCGTACGGTCTTCGAAACCCATACCGTTGGTTTGATCTGTTGTAGTTTTAGTTCCTATCACGGCGCATGGGGCATCAACTTTCCTTTTTCGTTTTCATTTTTTCAGCATACAAGATATTTTAGTAATATAGTTCTTTTTATAGTTCGACTTATTTTTTTCTCAACAAATGTCTCCTTGCTCTTATCTACGGAGCCTGTTGGTTTCATACATATGAAGAGTTATTGTTTATAAATTCTAGACTGGATATATAAAGTCTAGCGCTGTAGATGTAAAGTCGAGCGTCCATCGCTGTAGATAAAAGGCCAGCGTTGTAGATGTAAACTCAATCATTGCAAATATTATGTCTATCGTTGGAGATGTAAAGTCGAGCGCTGTAGATATAAAGTGCAGCTCTGGAGATGCAAAGTCAAGCGCTGGAGATAGTAAGTCCAGCACTGGAGATATAAAGCCCAGCGCTGGAGATTTAAAGTCCAGCACTGGAGATATAACAGAAATTTATATTCATTTCTTATCAACAGCGCTGCTCAGGAGCTTAAATCAAAATTTTCATACCAAGTCGTTCATATTTGATAGACCGACTAGAACATAATGGATAACTGATACATTTTTCTCATTTTTGATAGCTTGCCATAACATGTCTCAAATGAGTGTTCTGCTATAGGGGACATAAGCTAGTAAAAATGTGCTTTGAAGAATCAATGCTTACTTTACAAACTACTACGGAAATCCAATAAATATCAGATGTGAAATTATTTGATATGCATTTCGATTCAAGTATATAGGTATTGTTTAAGATTCTTAAAAGAATAATAGTGACAAACATTTTTGTAAATACATTATTAGCGTCGCTCCAGAACTATATTTATAACGGAATACAAACTAAAACCAAAACGAATATATTTAATTCTTAAAAGGAGAATGTTCAACGGATTTAAAAACTTTATCTAAATTGTTCAGTGTTGTTTTTTTTAACATTTTGGTTACTGTAACAACAGAAACAAAATAATACGGTATGTCATTGATCATTTATCTTTTTTAAACAAGTGCGAAACATAAAAAACTATAAAAACACAAATGAAAACGAACAAACGTGAAATTGAAATTAAAATTTAAAAAAAAAATAGAAAAAAGAACAGAAACAAAACAAATGCAGAAATACAAAACAACAAAACACGTAATTGTAAGCTTTTATTTATAATATATAAAATGAAAAATCCATCCAATCTTCTGTTTAAAATATGTTCCAGTGATCGACTTCGTAATTATGTGAAATGGTTTGCATTCTTGACAGTTACAACATCCCCATTCGGTTCCGGTGATCCCCTTCTATAAAGTATGGAATTTCTTTTAATTCCGGTACGTAATTTCTAATTCATGACGTCTAATAAATTTTTAGTCTTTTGGTGACTCAATTGTACTCCCTTTCAAGTAGGAACATGTTCGTCTACATCGTCTGGTTTCCAGTACTGTCTAATGTCACCTGGCAGTCAGAAATACGCCCTGAGATGCCTCTGTTGTCGTTTTCTCTGCTTGTAGGGTGTTTCGATAGATTCTCGGATCCATTTATCATAGTCTTCTAATATTTGCCATCTGGACATTGTCAGTGCGATGCGCCTCTTTATTGGATAGATGTAATCACCTTGTCTTTTGAATTGAATTGCCGAACGTGATTTAATTGTGTATCTCTAAAACGTGTTTTAAACTGAGTTTTACTGTGCGTACTGTTACA